TTCAAGCAGGAATCGCTGCTTTATCCCAAGGGTCACAACAATGCTTTGTTACCAAGCAGAGCTGTATTACCAGAGCAGCAGCAATGGCATATTAGAAATAGTCATGTCAAGTTATCGTCAGATTAATGTTATGCTACCAGAATGATCCAATGTTAAATCAAATGGGCAGGAATTTCAGGTTTTGGTAGAAGTGGGTATGCTAGAGAGTTATGGTGGAATTTTACTGTTTTTAAAGAGAATGAGCTTTTGTTATTATTATAATACAGGATTTATATAGCGCCAACAGTTTGCTCAGCGCTTTACAATATAAAGGGAGACAATACAGCAACAATACATTTCAATACAAGAGTGATAGGAGGGCCCTGCTCCTTGGAGCTTACAATCTAGGAGGGAGGGGTTAGTGGTACAAAAGGTAATAACTGTGGGGGATGGACTGGTAGGAAGAGTAGAAGATCCCATTATTAGCTGAGGGCAGGGTAGCCTTCCCTGAAGAGAGAGGTTTTCAGAGATCGCCTAAAAGTGAGCAGAGTAGGCGATAGTCTGATAAATTGGGGTAGAGAGTTCCAGAGGATGGGGGGAAGCTCTAGAGAAGTCCTGGAGATGAGCATGGGAGGAGGAGACAAGGGAGCTAGAGAGCAGGAGGTCTTGTGAGGAGCAGAGAGTACGGTTTGGGTGATAGTTGGAGACAAGATTGGTGATGTAATTTAGGGCAGAGTTATAAATGGCTTTATATGTTATTGTTAATGTTTTGACTTTTATCTGTTGGGAATGGCAGAGAGGGGTGGCTGATACAGAACGGTTAGTAAGGTGGATGAGTCTGGTAGCAGCATTCATGATAGACTGAAGAGCGGATAGCCTGCCATAAGGTAGGCCAATGAGGAGGGAGCTACAATAGTCAAGGCGAGATATAACAAGGGATTGAATAAGTTGCTTAGTGGTTTCCGAGGTTAGGAACGGCCGTATCTTGGAGATGTTGCGGAGGTGAAGTCTACAAGATTTGGACTGCGATTGGATTTGGGGCTGAAAGGACAGATGGGAGTCTAGGGTTACACCTAGCACCCTGGCATGAGGGGAGGGATTGATGATTGTGTTGTTGATTTTGATGGAGAAGTTAGGGGAGGGGGCATGGGCTGGAGGGAATACTAAGAGCTCAGTTTTGGAAAGATTGAGTTTGAGGAAGGGGAGTGACATCCATGTGATATGTCGCTTAGTAGGTTAGTAATGCGAGAGGAGACTGAAGGGGTGAGGTGAGGGGTAGAAAGATAGATTGGTGTGTCATCAGCATAGATAGGTACTAAAGACATGGGAGTTTATCAAGTGACCAAGGGAGGAGGTGTACATGGAGAAGAGTAGGGGCCCAAGGACGGAACCTTGAGGGACCCCTACAGAAAGAGGGAGTGAAGAGGAGGAGCCAGAGTTTTAAGTAACGCTGAAGGAGAGCTGCAATAGGTAGGAGGAGAACCAGGAGAGAGCAGAGTCTCGGAGGCCAAGCGAGTGGAGTTTTTTAAGGAGGAGGGGATGGTCAACCGTATCAAAAGCCGCAGAGAGGTCGAGAGTAGTAAGAGTACAGAGTAGTGGCCATTGGTTTTAGCAGTTAGTAGATCATTAGTGAGTTTTAATAGGGCAGTTTCAGTGGAGTGTAGTGAGCGAAAGCCAGACTGTAAAGGGTCAAGAAGGTTGTTGCCAGTGAGGTAGCAACTCAGGTGATTGTAGACTAGGCGTTCTAAGAGTTTAGAGGTAAATGGGAGCAGGGAGATGGGTCTTAAGTTGCTCAGGTTGGTGGGGTCCAGGGAGGGCTTTTTAAGTATGGGAGTGATGTGTGCATGCTTTAGAGGGGAGGGGAAGGCACCGTTAGAGAGGATGTATGCTTTTGTTCAGCATACATGCACACTATGACACATTGTCACAAACCTGGGGAGTTCAAGCTGGAGAGGGTTGTCCAACACCCCTGGTAGTAGTGACAGAGTGGCATGAAGGCTGCTGAAGCAGGCAGATCTAGCTGTTGTTTGCAGGATACAGATGACCATGGATCACCAGACAGGGACCAGAATACAGTGACACTTGATCAGTGGAAAGGAGTGAAGCCAGAACACAAGCCAAAAGGTCTACAGCTGGGCAGAAAGATGCAGGGGCAGAGTCTGGATACAAGTTGGGATCAGTTCACAGCTGGGCAGGAGGTATAGGAATGTAAGGCAAAAGCATAGTCTTGGTACAAGCCGAAATCACAACAGGTAGGCAGGAATCCAAAGACAGGTCCGAGGCAAGCTGGGTTGTGCACGGGAAGGCAATTATAGCAGGTCAGGCCACAAGTAAAGCCATAAGTAGCTGACGACCACTCAGCAATCTGTTCATGTCACAATCCAGCTTAAATAAGCCACTTGGTGCCAGTGCCAAGCCTGCATGCTTGCTAGTATGTTTGCACGTGTGCTAATGTACGTCTTGCAGTGAGCCATTGCTGAAACGTATGAGTATTCGCATGCATACGAGCATACAAAAGTCTTCCTGTTCTGATACGTACTGGGATTTTCTTACACACATCCACATTCTAGTGTGCCCTCCACCAGGGAAACAACTCACATGTTCCTCTTCGCCACTTCTTCCACTGATGCTGACATTTTCAGACCATCATTTTCTACTGGGTCCAGCATCTTCTGGCTCTGCAATTGGGTGTGTTTTTGACAGCGCTTAGTGCAAACTTTCATCTTGCAGAATTTGCTGAAAATATTTATTTTTAAAGAGCATCAAATACAGAGAATGCATTTTAGAGGAAATGTCTCATTATTGCTCAGGACTAACATGTAAAAAACCCCATCAAAATATAATAAATCCAAATCGGAGACAAAAGGTAATCCATATCAAAATAATAGTAGTGTTAGGAATAGTAGATAAAATACAGTATTTCATATACAGCAATTCATATTATTTATGCTTAACCGCTTACCTACTGCCCTATAGCAGAAATACTGCTACAGGGCGGCAGGGTTGCGCAAAATCAGGTATATATACGTGATTTGCATTGCCGGGTAGGGGACTCACAAATGTGCCCTTCTCACGCCGCCATTGGCGGCTAGGGATGTGAATCACGCGTCCCGCCCAGCAATTCCCCCCGGCAGCCAGCGATCGTCAGGGAAACCTAACAACACAGGTCTCTCTCCTGTCAGCATGGGAATTTTTTTTTTAGCAAAGACATGTAGCAGAATACATTATGGCCTAAAGTTATGATGAAATTTGATTTTTTTTTTTATTGGATATGTTTTATAGCAATAAGTCAAAAATATTGTTTTTTCTTTAAAATTGTCTGTCTTTTTTTGTTTATAGTGGAAAAAATAAAAACTGCAGAGGTGATCAAATACCACAGAAAGAAAACACTATTTGTGGGAAAAAATAACATAAATTTAATTTATGTACAGTGTTGCATGACTGTGCAATTGTCAGTTAAAGTAATGCAGCGCCGTATCGCATAAAATGGCCTGGTCAGGCAGGGGGGTAAATCCTCTGGAGGGCAAGTGATTAATATATTTATATCACATAGTCCATGTTGTGCACATTTGTCATCTAACACATGCTAGCAACAATAACAAGTGATGGTCTGATGAAGGCGATATAGTACACATAAATCATAAACTATATATAAATTAAGTATAGTTCATGTCTCATTAAGTAAAATAAAAAATATCTAAACAGCATAAAAAATGAAGAAAAAAAAGATAAAGCATACATCTGACCTTGGACAATAATTTTTGGTAATATCAGGATGAAATAACATAGCAAGCCTAAACTGGGGCAGAATGGACACTGTAGAATGTAAATCGATGCATTGGAACTGCAGGTTAATAGGGCTAACTAGGGATGGTAAAAGACTGGGCTTTTAAAGACTGGCAAGGCTTATGTGAATTATTCTATAGGTAGAGATAGATGAACTAGTGACAAAAGTCTGGGAGATGGAAGAACTGAACATTGTATGGAGGAATGTGTACAGATAGGGATATTATGAAGAAAAAGACATTGTGAGACTAATTGGAAAGGATATGTTGGAAGAAATGGGTAGTATGATAAGAGAGTTGGATACTGTGTGAAATTGTGAAGCTGAGCTTGTGCAGCAGTAGCCATAAGGAGGTACAATGTAACTAAGTGATCAAATGAAAAGAGCAGATTGAGATCGTGAACCTGGATTTGTGCAAAAGAAATGCAGTATAACCAGGTGAAGGGGCCGGAAAGGTGTAATAACGAAGGACAGAATAACAAAATGAATAAAATTGAAGATATAACACATGACATATGAAGAACGGAATAGGGATGTGTGGGTAATAACTGTACACATTTAAGAGACAGAGATGGGGAGAGTAGTAAGAAGATGAATAAACAGGTGGCTGAATTTAGCTACCTAAACATTTCAATAGATAGATGTAGGGGTTTAGGGGAGGAGGTGTTGACTAAGAGACCTGATAATGGTGCAAACATAGTGATATAAGCTGAAAAATGAGTGGGACCTTTTCCCATTAACAAAAAAGCAATGAGAAAACAAGAAACTGTAAAGAAATGTAAAAATTCAGAAATAAATAAACAAAAAGGATGAAAATAATGAAACAAGTCTGAAAAAAATTAATCAAATGAGCGCAATATGTACATGAACTGGGAAGGATGAAAAAAAAAAATATAATAAATAATATATATTTAATATAAAAATGAAAAGATGATACTGAAAAGATGAGAAAAATTGTATGATCAAAATATACATAAAAAAACATAAATGTTAAACTTGTCATAAAATTACATCTATATTGAGCTGAACAATTATTATTTATAGAAAGTCTGAGAAAGTTGTATCGATGTTGGTAAATCTTGAAAACATAGTGGTTTACTAGCTTTCTAAGGTTAAGTTGAGGCTCTGAGGGTACTGAGCTGGTGGATCAACACCCACAACACACTTATATGCACGTTTTGAAAATTTGCCTTATGTCATGAATGAAAAGTAACATTTTTCTCTCTTCTATTAACAGGGAGTTGGAAAAAATAACAAGATAGTTGATCAATTTCTTCATTTATTAAATCGACCACGGGAATATTTACAGTTACACAGGTGGGTATGGTGGGCTCTAAGGCTTTTATGTAATGTGCAGTACCTATCACTAGCCTGGCATCTCACCTCACTAAACTGCCCAACTGCTTTTAACATATTCTCATATGGAGGGTTCAAGATCACCATAAAGCCGCTTGTAAAAGTAATAGAGAGAGGAAGGGATATAATACACAAAGTGCCAACATCCCTAACGAATACACAGGGGGGAAAAGTCCTCTTTTTTTGGTGGTACTTTAATAGCACAATTTACTTGTATGATAAATTTCAACAACTCTAAAGAGATTTTTTTATAAAAAAAAGTATGACATTTTATTTTTACAATCTTCAAAAAATTTTTGAAGATTGTAAAAATAAAATGTTCATACTGTTTTTATAAAAAATCTTTTGAGTTGTTGAAATTTATCATACAAGTAAATTGTGCCGTTTAAAGTCCCACCAAAAAAGAGGACTCCCCCCCCCCCCCCCCCCCCCCCTTGTAAAAGTAAAGTCTTTATTGGTCTTTCAAAACAGGCAAACAAATAGCTTTCTTCAGCAAATGTAAAGAAAACATTTAAGAGACCTGGTAGCAAGAAACATACAGTAGGCTCACCTCCAGACTCTCTGTCCCATACTGAGTTTAGGGTTCCTCCTTGTCTCCGGGTGCGCCAAAGGCCGCAGGGGCTCGGCAACAAATGCCTCATTTGCCAGAGAGTTCACACTTGCTCACAGATTCTGAAGCACTCCATTCTGCCTCATTGACACAGGTGCTGATTCCATTCCTCTTTTTAACAAGACCCCCTTGCCTGTGGGTTAACCCCTTCAGGACCAGAGTCCTTATAATCAGGGTTTGGATGTTCTGCCCACCTAAAGCTCTTTGAACTTCTGAAATTTTGGGTCCCTAAAAATTACTTATCAATCCAAAGAGTACTGAAAGTCAGTCCTCTCTAACCAGTCTACCCTGAAACACCTAATCCTGTATGGGAAAGAACCCCTGAGTTTGCAATTATGTCTTCAAACTGTCCCTCTTAAAGACACTACAACTCAAATACTCGGGGAATATACCTGCCATCCAGGACACACTCCTGGTGTCCTGTACAGAATAATGAAATCGTTTTATATATACAGTAGATGCTGCACGCACAGCCTGATTTCTTTTTTTCTGCCTTTCATCGCCCAAATCACTGGATCTACGTTGCTTGTCAATCAGACTTTAGTGACATTTGTCTAACTAGAGCAATTCTTTTTCAGCTGGGGTTTAGAAAGGTTTGCTAACTGGTCATAGAGATTTTCAGCTAAACTTGGTTATGACAAGCATTTCAGGTGCTAGCTTGTGTTGATCTGCAGTATTAGTTGTGAGCAATCAGTGTATCGGCATAGCAAACATACAGCTTGTCTGCGGTCAGCATGCAAAGGGCATTTATATTAAAGTATACTACAGAAAGCACATTGTAATGTGCACTGTTTCTTTTAAACTGTTGTGAAGACTGAAATAAATTAAAGGAATCTCCCCTAAGTCTTTAATAATCTGCAAAAATGAACGTCTTGAAACATAACAACCAGCTAAAGGCAATCCTCTCTCAGATCTTGTGAAGAAAGCTATCTACTGTCTTTTACACCTTTTACTTGCAGGAGCACTGTTTGTAGAGCTGTAGATTGCACAGAAACATAACAAATGTTCTCTTTTACTGGGTGTATGGAAACTGCCACAAACATATTTTTGATCAGTACTAGTAGCATTCTTTATAGAATGCATGTATTATACTTTTTTTATTTTGGATTATAGCAGTATTGACTCAGTAAGATTTCGTTTTACTGTCTCTGCAAGCTTACAGTTTGCAAGTCAATGAGCTTATACAACACTCCTTCCATACATGCGCTTTTCTTTTGTAACAGATTCCCAATAAAGAATCGAATATCACTACATTTCTTTATATGTTTTAAAAACAGCATCTGTCATTTATGTTTAAAAGAACATTTACTTGCTAGCTTTCTTACTTTATAAGCAAAAGTGGCAGTGATGAACAATAGCAAAGATACGATATTACATAGGAAAACTCTATACATTATCTGTCTAACAAAATGCCATTTTCCAGCCCCTATCATAAAAAGCCTATTGCGTATTCTCAAAATTGTATACTCATTTTATGTTAATTTGTATTTTTGTGTTTATATGTAATGCTGGAACAATATAAGACTTGCATTATTGCCAGAGAGAAATGCAAAATATTAGTCATTGTATCTCCACGTTATGCTCTGTGCTTGAGACAGTAATAAATGTTGCAGTGATAAAGAACATTGTTCAATTGTTTAATTACCTTCATGTGACAGTACCTACTAACTAATCTTGAGTACAACCCCATATCCAAAAAAGTTGGGACGCTGTGTAATATCTACAGAAAAACGGAATGCAATGATTTGCAAATCTCATGAACCCATATTTATGAGATTTGACATGATATTGTCTCTGTAACAATCAATTCATCATTTCTATGTCATTACAATGCTATATTTTGGAAGCTGCACTGGCACTTTATCTTACTGCTGACATAATTGTGATTGTGGGGTCTCTGCATCATATGATACTTTGTGAGGTGAATAATAAAGTCATGACTTTAGATTTACCATTTTAATGGGTCCTATACTGTCATGGCTATTGTCAGGATTAGAGTTTCTGGAGCACATGTTCATCTCCTAACTGTTGTATATGGTTCATAAAGTGTGAAGTAAAAATATTTGGATTTTTTTGCAGCATATACTAAAACAGTGCAATGTAAATGCAATTGCTAACTTGAAGTGAGGGCTCACTGATGTTTTTTTAAATCTAAAGGAGAATAGTTCTTAATTAACATTATTAAAAGTTATAATGCATACTGTATTACTGCATGTAGAGCAGTTGTCACAACCACTTGGTGCCCGCTAACAGTACATATGCTGCTAGCGGACACTACTGCCACCTTGGACGCACAGCGGCGTGATCTAGTCTCTGGTGGACACAGCGGATCATGGCGCTTGGTACCGGGCTGCTGTGAGCAGCCCAGGTATAATGTAAACAAAACAGTGGTTTCCATTCATGACTGCTTGCTTAGTGTTATGAAGCTGTGATTGGCCCTCAGCTATCACATAGTACCTTACACCCTGTACCAAGTGATTAGCTGTAGCCAATAACCACATGTCAACAGAAAGCAAGCTGTTGTGAATGGAAAGCCATTCATGACAGTTAATTATTACTAATAACAGTGATGATCAAAAAAAAAAAAACTGTGGTGACACTGAAGTACTCTGATGACAGTATGTGAAAAAAGAATAAAAATGTAATAAAAAATATTTATTTGTTTTTACATACTGTCACCATTTGGTATTCCTGATCACCGCCACTCCAGTCATATAATGACGCTGTACTGCACTGGTGACAATATGTAAAAAAAAAAAGGTGGAAAAAATAAAAAAAACATTTTAATTTCTTCATTTTCTAAAAAATTGAGAGAAAAAATTACAACTTCAAAAAACTCTCCATGCTTCTTACTAAATATCTTGGACTATCTACTTTTCAAAAAAGAGGTAATTTGGGGGGTATTTGTACTGTCCTGGCATTTTAGAGGTGTCAGTACATCAGGATTGATCAGTTTTTGAATGTATGTACCATAGGTTGTTGACACTATAACCTTCACACAGACTAAATATACACGGATTTGGGTTATGTTTACCAAACAAATGTAGTAAAATACATTTCAATTTAAATTTAGAAGCTAAAAAAAAGTGGGTTTTTTTTCACAATTTTTGGCAATTTTTTTTCATTTATATAGCAAAAAAAAAAAAGTAATTAAATACCATCAAAAGAAAGCTCTGTTTATGTGAAAAAAAAATATAAAAATGTAATTTAGGTACAGTGTTGCATGACCTAGCAATTGCCAGTTAAAGTAGCACAGTACTGAATAGCAAAAGATACCTAGGTCATGGAGGTGGTAAAGCCTTTCGGAGATCAAGTGGTTAAAAACACCAGATTATTAAACAATTATATAACCATCATTAAATGACAAATCAACATAACTACAAAAGATTATAATCATATAGATGCATCACTGTCTTTAACCTTAGATTTAGTTTTTTTTGCAGTTATTTAGAACATTGTTTATGCTGAATAGAAACTATAATTTTACCCATTAAGTTGAAACCTTTTTAGCTTTGCCTTCATGGACCATATTGAATGTCTGTTGTTAGTCCTGAAAAATCCCACTTTTCCTACATCTAAGATTTGATGTAATACTGATATTTTTTGGATTAACTCTGCAGGGAAATGTAAACAAAAAAATAGTTTAATATTTGGAAACTCATTGCACTGAGCACTTAAGATATATTTATTGATTGTACTTCTATTCTGTTTCTCAGGAGCAGTACTTAATATTTAATGGATCTTTTGTCCCAGAGCTACTCTAAAAAAGTTTTCAAACTTTAAAAAGTTTGTTGAGCAAACCCTTTGTTATTATACCTAGACATTAAAAAACATTCTATCGGATGGGGTTTTTAATGGCCACTCTCTGTTGTATGGATATCTGGTACAATACTTTTCCTTTAGCTACCCCCTGTGGGTTTATCATAGCTTTTCGGATTGATTTGATATCTACACCATTCATACTGATCCCCATTTTCTTTCTTTCTTTTTCTCTCCTTGGTTGTGAGAATTGTACATGACTCTGCATGCACCTCCTTGGACGAGGTGAATTTTTGACAAGTATTGTAAAGATGTATGGGAGACTGTATATATTGGATATTTGTTTTACTAATGATCTCCGAAGTATATGTTCATGTATACTGTTGCTTGTTTCAATAAAACCCTTATGAAACTAAAAAGCATTCTATTCCCTCTCATGGCCCTACCTGTTTTATATTCTACAACTGTGGCAGTTTGAGCCAAGGTTTCATAACCCTGTTGCTAAATCTCGTTACTACCAAAGGCTGCCCGCTTTTCCCCTTACTTTCACCCCTTGTGATCCTCTGACTGATGAACACTGGCTCATCTTATT